CGCCCCGCCCCGCCCCGCCCCGCCCCGCGCCACGGTGTGTACACAGTGCCCGCACTGCGCCGCTCTGCGCCGCTCTGCTCTGTGCGCCACGATATCGGGTCTGCGTATTCCATGCCCGGCCCCCGTAATGTCGGCACACACGTCGTCAGTTTGTTTGTTATTATTTTCCCCGCGGACAACATCCAAAAAGTTTTCACCACGTCCGGATGTTGGTGGAAAGTGCACAGGAAACATAAAAGCGTCGGGGTGAACGCGAGGAGCATGATCCCCCCCCCCCCCTCTCTCTCTCTCTCTCTCTCTCTCTCTCTCTCTCTCTCTCTCTCTCTCTCCCTCTCTCTCTCCCTCTCTCTCTATTGGTTCCTGTATTTTGATTCGAAGGCTCCCCTATGCGTCATAGCGTATACAGAAATGTCGCTCTTGATGTTTGCACAGGAACAAAGTTCATCAAGAGTTGTAACGAAGTCACGCAGTTACTTACTTTTGGTGTTTAGGTTACCCGTAAAATGGTCCAAAATAATGTCTCTTTTTACTGATAAAACAAACTTTTACGGAAATAGTGTGTCGTACAAAATTGGTAGAAACAACGGCTATCGGTGAAATCCGACAGGATGCAATTTGTGTGGCTTTTCTGGGCAAGGTACCATCACTTGAGCCCGCGCTCCCCTGGGAGCGCCGTGGTGGTACGCCACCCAGCCTACACACCCGTGGAGCGCAAAGCCTACCCGACGGCGCTCCCCGCTGCGCGCTGGAGAGCCGCTCCGTTCGCTCTGATTGAGATCTGCTGCTGTGAGACGGGACGGGAGAGACGTGCTGTAAACAATTAGATGCAAGACGCAGCGTTACGAGCAGCGATCTGTCATCTCAACCAGCAGGCGGTCATAACGAAAAATGAAACGGAGGCAAATAGACGCAAATGGTGCACAAATGCTAACGAGTTAAGGAGGAGCGCGCTCCGCAAAAAGTTTTTCCAGTGCGGCATCCGGGGGGAGAGTTATCATTTCCCGTCGGCTCGGCGCCGCCCGGGCTGCGGCTCGGGCGGACGGGACGGCTCGCCAGTTGTTTGAGGCTTAGTCGCGAGGGACTATTTGGATGTGAACATTTGTTTCGTGAGGAAATCCCTACATGTCAAGATGAATACTGGGAGGCAAAGACTACTTGAAAGTCTGTCCCGTATAATGAACCACCTTGGGGGGGGGGGGGGGGCGCAGAGAATGCGCGGTTGTAATGGTCCTTTAGCTTCAGTGAAACCTTCAAAGCATGATGACAAAAGAAAAAGAAACACGCACAAAAAGAAAAGAAAAAACATCACGCGAAAGTCTATTTCTTTTGGGCCCTGCTCGTCCTCCAACATCATACTTTCTGTGGTAGCAGGCTCACAGACTCACACAGCAGAGCGTGTCCCCGAACTCATCTGGATTGCTCTCCACTCTGGCCCGGCACGTTCCATGAAGCCAGATGAATTCGCAACTTCTCGACCAGAAGATAAAGACCTCCAAAAGCAAACAATGTAGGCGACAAGCTGTTCTTTCTGCCATCGGCCAGAAACGGCGGGAAAACCTATGAAATTGAATTTCGTTTAAAGTGTTCCACTTTTCACTCCACCGCAGTGCCCCGCTTGATCGTATTAGTCCAGGATAGCGTCGTTTGCACACCTGGACCGGAGACGCGTTGATGGCGAGCCGCCGGTGCGCGACTCGTCAGCATTCTGCGCCATGACGCCACGACGATGTCGGCTGCATTCCTCCTAGCCGTCATCAGTACAAAAGGCCGCAGCGCTCCTTGATGATCATGAGATACTTAGAGAGAAAGAGGCGGCCGGGGGTGGACTAGTGGTGCATTGCAATGCGCCGCGTAGCACCGCGGAGAGGGACGCGGGTGGGAGAGAGACGGAGAAAGCTGAATGAAAATTCGGTGCAGTGGTGCGCGGCGGACGTGTCCGGACTGTCCGGCGGGTGGGCGGGGGCGGCACCGCCGCGCCGACCAAGGAGGGTCCAGCCACTTAGTGCCTTCCCATGCTCGCAGCGCAGCCAACCCAAGAGTGCCTGCAGGAAGCGGGGAACTGCGCCCACTGCAGCACCAGGCCAAAAATTCGACGATTTTACTGATGTGAGAGGTTCAAGCTCTGCTACATAGTCTCGACACGGACAGGACAGTGACAGCCTTCAAGCTATTCTTTGCGATTTAGACACCGTCATATTTCTTAACCAGTTGTTTCATTTTGGTGCGAGATGCGTGCAGGGGGAGGGGGCAAAACAGGGAGGAGGGCGAACGGCGCAAAGGGTAAAGATGTATTTTTATGGGCATCGTGAATGTGCGAAATGTCATCTCTATTTATCATCCGCAGTGCGGGCGTTGGCTCCAGCTGTGCCATAATGTACTCTAGAAGCGGCGGGGGCGTGTTTTTGTTTTCTTTTGTTGAGGAGCCTAGGCTCGAACACCTCAGTGGAAAGCGGTGGGATATGGTTAATTTGTTTTCGTGCACTAGCAAGAGTAGGTAATTAAGAGTAAAAACGGCTAGCAAAAAGGCAAGGGCTCGAAATGCATACGGCGTAATGGTGTCGGGGAAAACAACAGTGAGGAATCCGATCTGAGCTACTTCTCAGAGACTGCTGGCGAGAACCTCTTGCCTTGGGCACTGTATTCAGGTGAACTCATCTTTCAACGCTGTCATCAGAGAACCACACATAAACGAGCATAATGTACAGCAGAGATATTTGTCGTAAGCTGAATCGTCATGCGACCGTTGCTTTTAGCCCACCCTTTTTCTTGGAAACCTCTGTCGATCGAATTTCTGTGCCTGGGGTTTGTTCTGTCTTTGGCTGTTCGTCCTTCTGTTAGTTAGGGGTCGTCCACATATTACGTCACGCGTTTGGGGGGGAGGGGGGGTCTACGCTAGCGTGACGGTCCTATACCAAAAGCATTGGAAGGTTAGGTTAGCCGCGTGACGTGGGGGGAGGGGGGGGTCAAAAACTGTCAAAAATAGCGTGACGTAATATGTGGACGACCCCTTATCTTATGACAGATTTGTCACCTAGAAGGAATTGACATTAAGAATCAAACATTTTATGTTGCCTTTAGGGTGGCATTGTCGAGAGAATACTAGAATTGGACAGAAATAAAATTGTTGGTTGAAAAATCAAAACAAGAGCATAAAGAGCAAGCCTCAAACACCGCTTTGGTCCCAAATGTCACATTTCGCAAACTTTGCTAAAACGGGTGAGAGCACCGGGACTTTAAAGGTGTTAATTTATTTTCTATTGGAGTTTCCCATTAGCATTGTTGAACGTTATCAATGTATTTTCGCATCTTTAGGATATGTATATATGTAAAGATTAACCAGAAGGTACACCCGTCATTCGCTGTTAGGAAATTGCCAAGTTTCGACAATACAAGCTCTCATAGCGCCTGTCAGGTAGGCAACATCTTGCCTTCAGTGCATGCGTGTACTGCGGGTTGGTCTACCCCGAGTCTCGCAGGCGCTTAGCTCCGATAATTCGCCGAATCAATCTGAGGAATGCGGGCGTTCTGGACAACCCTGGACGGAACACCGACCAGGTAACGTAATTTTTCTGCAGAAGTGCATGGTCATAGGTCGGTGAGCGTGTCCCGGACCCAAACCAAATGCTGCTGGGCTGGCAAGGACACGTCTGCCGGACGGAGTTGCCAGCGCAGCGCAGCGAAGCCAACCTGGCATATCTGTTCATTTAAACAGGGGGCCTGCTATACTTTTGGACAAATTACACTCTACACTGTGAAAAATATCGTCGTAAATGTACGCGAGCACATTTTTTACTCGCGTATGCAATCTAGGTCGATACGTTCTGTATGTATTTTCACGATTACAAATTGTAATTCTACAACATGCGTCAATGAAAGTTTTCCCCTTAATTTACCGACTATTTTTCATAGTGCAAATGTTAAAGCCAATTATTGTAACAAGCATCGGATGTCTGTGTGTAGAACTGAATTCCAATACAATACTGGAACTGACATATTTACCAAGTAGACAGCTTCTGAACTCAATTGTACAAAGATGTTGCGGGGCTAGTTTCAATAATTTAACTTAGACATTTAAGGTGTACGTCACTTGTTTTGTTACCGGTGGAGAAGCTATTGCTAAGCTCCAAAGTGCATTGTATGGGAATGAAGGAAGTATGTTTCGTAGCTAACATGCCCTATATTTAGGTCGTAGTCCAGTAGAAGGGTACTCAAATCAGTTTAACAAACAGTTTTTGTGTTTCATAATCTCAAGAAACATGTTTATTTACAGGGATCAGTGTAAAGTTATGGACAGTTGCGTTGTTTAAGTCACGTTTGATGATCAACAGGATACATTATTTACAGAGGATGGATTGGCACTTACGACAGTCAACTGGTACACTGGTACAGTAAAAAAAGTATCGCAGTCAGTTCAGTAAAAAAAGAGTCATATTGTATTGTTCCGTCCACGTATTGTCGTTTAACAGCACTACTTAACGTTTTATCACAGTGTATTGTTCGTTCAGGTCTCGGACGTCAGTAAGTGGTCCCTGCGAGCCATAGTCAGAGGGGCACAGGTGGCCCCACTATGTCTTTAGGAAAACAACAAATAATTGAACAGAGGGAAAGAGACAAAAGGAGCAATAAATTAACTTGGCACAGTGAAACCTGTGCAATATTCCTCAACAACACTCACGTTTGTACTTTAACTCAGTACTACATGCTAAAGACGACGTCTCCTCGATCGACTTGGAATGCATCTTCAATTAAATCAATAACATTTTTAAATAAGTTAAAATAAATAAATCCGCTTCATCCCGCTTCGCAGCCGCCCTGGACTGGTTCGGCGGCGCTGGGTCGGGTTCTCGGCGGCAACAACAGCGCGACGCCACTCCTGTAGACACAGAAAAGGGGCGGTCAGAAACAAACATGAATGAGCGTTCACAGGTATTCCTGGTGTCACATCTAAACAGTATATCAGTGCCAAATTAGAGCGACGTCGGTCTCATTATTTGAGTGATGATTCTGGGGGTTCATCATCATCCCTAAACATAGTTTACTTTTATAACAACTCCTGTTCCACCTCCAAGATATCTTAAAAAACACAAAGTTAAAAAGCCGATCCAAACGGTTAAAAAATATACCCATTTTTTCTACCTCTTTCTAAGTTGATCCGAAGAACGATAACAAGAACTTGTAAATAAAAGTAGGTATAGGTATTAGAGCCAACACGAATCGACTACGTTTATGCTGGCCGAAATTGTAGGGTCGGTTCGGGTACACTGAATTGTTCCGGCAACTCTCTTTCTCATTTCCACGAACGATCAAACAACAACAACAACGCGTGATTGTTTCTGTGCAATACGAAAGCGGCGTGATTCGGCTGAAGGGATACGATATCCCGCACGCGTCACCCCCCC